GGCCACCTTCACCTAATCCTAAAACCAGAAACCCTTGAAAACAAACCAAATACCCTCTAGCAATCTACAGCAGAGAGCAGACCCCAAAAAATCTCATTTTGTCTCTTCTTTTTTCTCTCGCAAAGTGATGGAAGGGGAGGAAGATATTCGCTACTGGGGCAACATCTCAGAGGAAGACTACCACAAGCAGCAAGGGATCATGGGATCAAAATCATTCTACACCTCACCCAGAGGCCTCTCTCTCTTCACAAGATCATGGCTTCCCATATCCGGCACTCCACGTGGCGTCATCTTAGGGGTCCACGGGTATGGCAATGACATGAGCTGGACTTTCCAGTCCACACCAATCTTCCTTGCTCAGAAAGGTTTTGCTTGCTTTGCCCTTGACCTTGAAGGCCATGGAAGATCTCAAGGCCTAAGAGGTTATGTTCCCAATGTTGATTTAGTTGTCCAAGACTGTCTTTCTTACTTCAATCTCATCAAGCAGGATCCTAGCTTGGATGGGTTACCATGTTTCCTGTATGGAGAGTCAATGGGTGGTGCTATTTGTTTGTTGATTCATTTTGCTGATCCAAAGGGGTTCCGAGGAGCAATTCTGGTATCACCCATGTGCAAAATTTCAGACAAGGTAAAACCCAGATGGCCACTTCCTCAAGTCCTCACGTTTATGGCAAAACTCTTGCCTACTTTGGCAATTGTACCAACAGAAGATCTCTTGCACAAATCAGTCAAAGTGGAAGAAAAGAAGATTATAGGGAACAAGAATCCTTTAAGATACAGAGGAAAGCCAAGACTGGGGACAGTTGTAGAACTCCTGAGGGTAACTGAGTATTTGAGTCAAAAACTATGCGATGTGAGTATCCCATTCCTTGTAGTGCATGGAAGTGCAGATGTTGTTACGGATCCGGCAGTTAGTAGGACTTTGTACGAGGCTGCATCAAGCCAAGACAAGACAATAAAGATTTATGAAGGAATGTGGCATTCTTTGTTGTTCGGTGAACCTGATGACAACATTGAGATTGTTCGTAGTGATATTTTAGCTTGGTTGAATGATAGATGTAACACAAAGATCTGAACAGGTCTGTCATTTATGTACCATGATCCTTATGAATAAGAAGAAAAACAAATCTCCAGGGAACCAAACTAACAGAAGCTGTGTATTTACTTGTTTTCTTGTGTTTTTTTTGTCCATAAGCAAGTCATTTACTTCCTCTTTAACGTTCATGGCTCAAGATATGCCGCAGACCAAGTCATTCCATTGAGGATCAGCTTCCTCTTCATACTAGAAAGCAAGACGTCAAAGGGAAACGAATAATTCATACACAAAATGTAGAAAGCTGCAATAAACAATAATTCGTGCCTTGAAATTAATGAATGGATACAAGCTACAGCGGAAATAGTATACTCAAATTTACCAATGATGCTACAACTTAATAATTTCTGTATCTTTGGAAAATGAAAAGAATAACAAAATATATATATATATATATATATATATTATATAAAAGACCTATCATTTACAACTATGACTAAAAGAATCACCCGTCTCAACTCTATTATCTTTACTTTGGTATAGCTCACTTGCCCTAAATCCTATACAATGTCACAGGTGATGAAAGGTTCAGAAGTATCGATGGCCAGAGCAACAAAAAAAATTCAACTTTCCTATTGTTACTAAGGGAACCGTGAGGATTCTTTCGTGACTATTCACAGTGTCAAAAGAGCCTTACTCCTTGCCCTCATGTCCAAAAGAACCTATAAATGGTATTTGGGTTAGCAAAATGGAATCCGCTAGGCGAGGAAGATGGGTATGGTAATGATTCTATAGGAGGAAGCTGGAGATCCAATCTTTCCATCCCCAAACAAAATGCCAAACAAAATGCACGAGCCTCCCGGGTGCAAGTCTAACACTGCTGGCTTAAGAATGTAGTCTACCGCTGTCATTTTAAGAGTGAAATGTCATGCCATAAACAAGTATTCCAAGTCTTCTACAGTGAGGCGAGTCTGACGACCACCAGTTTCATCCTCTCCAAATGCAGATGCAACCATCTCCCTCTTCTTTTGCTGGTAATTCAAAACGTAAAAAATAAATAAATTAAATCAAAAAGAGAAACCAAAAACAAGAAGAGCAAACATTTATTGCATGAGCAAAGGTATCAAGCTAAACAAAAAGGGTTACGGGTGAAAGTGAGCATAGAAGTACTAATAATGCCAGGAAACCATTTCACCAGGAGCATTTAACCAAGCACAAACTAGTTTTGACTTAGTTTTCGTGTAAACTACCAGGTAGAGGTGTCCACCGACTGGGCCAAATTCAGGCCAGTGCCTTGAAGAGCAAGCTCAGGCCTGTTCATAGGCCAGAACTTATTATACATAATTTTGAAAAAGAATCATGTTCAGTTTAGAATTATATTTAATAAAAATATGTTATTTAGATAATAAAATAAGCATTCAGGCCAGGCTTAGCCCAGGCACAGGCTAAAAATTTTCTGTGAAGCGTATGGACATCTTTATCCATATCCATCATCACATAGCACTAATCATCAACTTGTCAAACCGGTAATCACATATGATCTTGAGCTTGATGATAGTCACAGTACTAACTATGAAAGAGGCAAAGATAAAGGTGTTGTGCCCGTATAGGTGGGGGAAAAGCTTACCTGAAGAGCTAAAATACGATCTTCAACTGTATCTTTCACGGTTAAACGCAAAACAGTTACAGGGCGAGTCTGCCCAATTCGATGTGCTCTATCAATTGCCTGGTCCTCGGTTGTAGGGTTCCACCAAAGATCCAGCAGAAGAACATGGCAAGCTGCAACCATGTTCAGCCCCAGACTAGCAGCTTTCAGAGACATAATCATAACAGACACCTACAAGCAAAGGGATCAAATTGCACACAAGTAAATCAGTGGGACCAGTAAACACCAGAATCTTGCACTCCCTCAAGATATCATACAAAACAATAGATGTCAAAAAATAGGTGCTATTAATACCTCTGGAAGGGTGTTGAAATCCTTCACTGCTTTATCTCTAGCTGCAACTGACATAGTTCCATCAAGTCTTCTGTATTGGATGGAAGAACTTTTAAGACACCCTTCAAATAAATCCAACATCCTTGTCCACTGGGAAAACACTATGGCTTTCTCTCCAAGGACCTTGCAAGAATCATTCAAACTTTCACCCGCATCAAGATTTTTTTCATCAAGAACACCATTTGGTGAAACCCCAGAATGGAGATCGGACAAACCTTCCGGACACCCACTACTCTTTAAGCTATGATCTTGAGGTTTAGCTAGCGATTGCAGGACCTGAAGGGCAGCCTTAATTTTGGAAGAATCATATGAACAATCCTCAGAATGAGGCCCAATTACCTCAACAACATGAGAACCAGAACAATTAAGGGAACTATCCCGACCAGGCTGCCCGAAGAGAGTGCTCTTTAAGGTGGCATTTGAAAACACAGAAGATGCACTGAGTCGAACTTTGCAATTTGTGGTCGGACACTGGTTGTCATCACCACTAAGATGTTCAGAGACGCATTGATTGCAGAAAACATGACCACAGACAGCAACAACAGCATCTTCCGGTGGATCCTACAGAACATAAGATGTCAGAACAGAAGGTTGAGAGTTCAAAGATAACAAAGAAATAACTAAAAAAAGTTTATGTCAAAAAAGAGGATTGACCAAAGAGTGTTACAAACGTATAAAGATAATTAACAATATTCTTAAACAACAAGTACAATTCTTGAGATATTTACAACCATATAGAGATAGAAGGACATGAACCTCACAGGAAAAGGATTCTGTCGAAGCTATCATTCTTACTAAAATTATTATACAGTTATACCATCAGCAAACAATTACCATGATGACAGCATTGAAAAGGAAGAACAAGTCCAAATAGGCTAGGAGAACCCTTTCTCAGATGAATAAAGATCTCTAAAGACACAGATGACTTAACACAAAATTTCCTGACATAAATTCTGGGTCACCTAAGAAATTTGCCACCATTAATTAGCCATGCAGGGCAAAAGAAGCCCCCCATATAATCCTACTGCAAGCATCACCCTCATTGAGTGAAAATCATTATTTGATCACTCAAATAAATCTTTTAAAAACCATATGAACAGACAGAAATGTGCATAGGCAAGCAGAAATCATCAAAAATATTGTAAAACAGAAGCAGCTTTGAAAGCCGATGTAAACCAACTAAAGAAGCAATCTGATAATAACTCATACATTGCAGATGCCACAGAGTGCCAAAGATGCTAAACAACTCAGAAGAAATGTTGGCTTCTCCTGAGGAAGATTCTTTGCAGTCTCAATCGATAATCTCCCTAAGGAGTTTGAATCAAAACCCCTGACAAGTAAGAGGTTGATCGCAAGCTTGGCGAAGGCGCAAAGCATCAACAAGATATTCACATAGTTTTGTTTGACAGTCCCAGCAGCTGCATACCAATATCGATAAGGTTGAAGCAATGAAATAAGCCCCAATAATGACAACACACCCTAGTAAACAGTCTTTTGGTCTACAAACATTAATCATTAGGTAAGACGATGCATTGCATCCAGTCTTCATATAAAAAAATCATGTACACAAGTAATAGCAAATTCAATTTGCGCTAGCAGCAGGTCTGAAGAAGGAAAACTTGTTACAAGGTTAACATTTGCACATGTTTGCTGGGCATTAAGAAAGCTATAGTTACAGTAGGTATGAAATGGTAATAACTTGTTTCTACCAATTAGATTATACTTGGCGATTACTACTTCTTCAGAGAGAAAGCAGAGTGAAGGAAAACGAGGACAACTGACCAAAACTCCAAGTGAACATGGCCAACGAGCAGAGGCTTGAAAACTCAACAGAATCACAAGCCCGAGTCTCCTAGCCCAACTGAGCCACCACAGCCCAATATTTTAACAGGCCACCTTCACCTAATCCTAAAACCAGAAACCCTTGAAACAAACCAAATACCCTCTAGCAATCTACAGCAGAGAGCAGACCCCAAAAAACTCATTTTGTCTCTTCTTTTTTCTCTCGCAAAGTGATGGAAGGGAGGAAGATATTCGCTACTGGGGCAACATCTCAGAGGAAGACTACCACAAGCAGCAAGGGATCATGGGATCAAAATCATTCTACACCTCACCCAGAGGCCTCTCTTCTTCACAAGATCATGGCTTCCCATATCCGGCACTCCACGTGGCGTCATCTTGGGGTCCACGGGTATGGCAATGACATGAGCTGGACTTTCCAGTCCACACCAATCTTCCTTGCTCAGAAAGGTTTTGCTTGCTTTGCCCTTGACCTGAGAAGGCCATGGAAGATCTCAAGGCCTAAGAGGTTATGTTCCCAATGTTGATTTAGTTGTCCAAGACTGTCTCTCTTACTTCAATCTCATCAAGCAGGATCCTAGCTTGGATGGGTTACCATGTTTCCTGTATGGAGAGTCAATGGGTGGTGCTATTTGTTTGTTGATTCATTTTGCTGATCCAAAGGGGTTCCGAGGAGCAATTCTGGTATCACCCATGTGCAAAATTTCAGACAAGGTAAAACCCAGATGGCCACTTCCGCAAGTCCTCACGTTTATGGCAAAACTCTTGCCTACTTTGGCAATTGTACCAACAGAAGATCTCTTGCACAAATCAGTCAAAGTGGAAGAAAAGAAGATTATAGGGAACAAGAATCCTTTAAGATACAGAGGAAAGCCAAGACTGGGACAGTTGTAGAACTCCTGAGGGTAACTGAGTATTTGAGTCAAAAACTATGCGATGTGAGTATCCCATTCCTTGTAGTGCATGGAAGTGCAGATGTTGTTACGGATCCGGACAGTAGTAGGACTTTGTACGAGGCTGCATCAAGCCAAGACAAGACAATAAGATTTATGAAGGAATGTGGCATTCTTGTTGTTGGTGAACCTGATGACAACATTGAGATTGTTCGTTTCCTATGTATTTTGTTTATATTTCATGCTTGAGATGAATTATAGATTGATAATCACATAAGACTAATTGAAAGGTCTGACATATTTAAGTATACCATTAATGACCCTTATAAGAACTTTAGAGTAATAAAATCAAATCCTCACATAGAGGATCCTACACCTATACAGACACGCATTAAGACATAATGTTATATAACATTGATTATATTACTATGTGTTTTCTTATATAGCGTTCGGCATGGCAGAGCGTCATTCTTAGCTTATCCTCTTATACGGGTCAATAGCGCACAGATATCCAGTCAACTAAGTCTCAATTTCCAAATTTGAGGAATCAGATACTCTCCCCTCTCTTTCATACATAACCCATGACGATCATGAAAGATGGGAACCGATAAATAACTGTCATATTACCACATCGCTAGAAATGCTGCAATCATCAATAATTCAGTCATCTAGAGATAACTTCCTCTTAAAAGGCCTATTGAAAATCCCAGTATGTAATGGATACTAAGACTTACAATGACTGGCAAACTAGTACTACTCATACGGTATGATTTGTTACAAGCAATAGCTTCATCCAATGGTTTTACTTAATATATTTCTCGGTATACGTTTGGAAACATTGAGAAAAAGAGATACCACAAAGATAATGAATATTAACACGATTATAATCCACAGATTGAATGAATTCTGAGCATTACATAATCCCGGGACCTATATCACTTATGTGTCTAACCAATAAAATAAGAGCCCGCTATCATACTACAACTATGACTACAAGACTACAACACTTCACCACGTCCTCACTCTATCTATAATCCATTATTTACTTGTATATCAAGATCGTCATCTCTACCTAAATTCTCTAGTATACATGATCACTAGCTGATGAAAATGACCCTATCAGCTAAGATTAGTACGATCAGATCCAGGAGGCAGATTAATACCATATCAAACTTCCTATTTGGTCTAACTGTAAACACAGCCGGAAACCGTGAGGATTCTTCGTGACGATTCTACTATCAGTGCTCAAGAAGCACATAGCTCCTCTCGCATGGCACCATCCTAATGTGTCGCAGATAGAGAACCTCTCATAAATACAGTGTATAGTGGATAGCGAAACCAAGATAAGAATCACAGCATAGGCAAAAAGAATGGTAAATGGCGCACGATATCTTATTACTTGGGAGATATCTTGCAGAAACACAATCTTCATCCACGCACCAACACACAAGCTAAAAATGCATCGCAAGTACCTCACCACCCCGGGTGCTAAGACCTCTCTAACACATCTGACTGACCTCATAAGATTGTAAAATCTATATATCTCGCTGTCCATGATAAGCAGGAGAGAATCAATATTGTCATGTCCACATATTAACCCACACGTATGAAATCGCATCAACAAGATATTCACATAGTTTTGTTTGACAGTCCCAGCAGCTGCATACTTCTGATAAGGATGTAGCATAGAAAATTAATATTACCACCTAAACTATTTGTATCATTAGGTTAATCCTCTAAAGCTACAAGAAAGGTAGAAGATTTGCAATCAAAATATCTATTAAGTCTTTGTACTCAAAATCGAAATAATTTAATTTTTTAATTTTGAAAATTATTCTAATTAATCCATCTTCTTAATAATATCTAATTTTACCATTAAAAGTGATGATATCAAGGTTAATGTGGTGCTATCGTGTCACATTTTGATAACATGACACCGTCGTGATAGATGTCACGTGACATGAATGTAGATTGAGAAAAAAATTCAAAAAAAATCTATTTCACATCATAAGGATTAAATTGAACAAAATGTATAATATAAAAATTAAATTAAATAAATATGACGTATTTAACAACTAAATAGAAAAAGTATTTAGAAAAATACAAATCTTTAAGTGGATGATACATATACTTATTAATAAGCCAAATGTTTAAATGTGAAAGATTTATAGTGTTAAAAAATATATATAAATATTTTCTCACTTGATTATTTTATTTTAAAATAGGTACATTAATTTATCTCTTTTCTAAAAATTAAATTTTAATTCAAAATAAAATATTAAAAATTTTTATAAAAAGAGAATTCAAACTAAATTTTGTGAAAAAGATAAATTAATATATCTATTTTAAAATCAAATAATCAAGAAAATATTTATACATATTTTTTAACACAATAATTCTTTTACACCTAAACATTTAGCTTATTAATAATATATGTATCATTTACTCAAATATTTATATTTTTAAATATTTTTTTAATTTAATCTGTAAACATCTCAATTTTGTTTAATTTAATATCTTATACATTTTTATTCAATTTAAACTCTATGACGTAACATAGATTTTTTAAAAAAAAAATTTTTGATTTGCCACATTAGCATTGTCACATGACATCAACATGTCAGCATGTCAATGTTATATCAGTATTGTTATATTATCATGTTAATGAATATGACATTGCCATGTTATCATACCAATGCGATGTGATACTATCACATCATCATAGTGAGGCCACATAATCAAAAATGGCACATCAACGTTGACGTTATTATTTTTAAAAGTAAAATTAAATACCATTAGAAAGAATGATTAAATTGGAGTAATTTAAAAAAACACTAAATTGATTCAAAAATTGAAATAATTTTTTAATTAAAAAAAACCTAAATTGATTCAATTTTGAATATAAAGATTAAATTAAATAAAATGTATGAATATAAAGACTTGGTAAGTATTTTGACCAAAATTTACAATAAAAATTTAAATTTGCTTTAGACTAAAACTATACTTTTAAACTGAGTACGTGAATCCGTCTCCAATCTGGAGTAGAAGTCACGTTCCTCCTCTGTGAATTCCACCTTTTTCAATTCTATCACTTGGTTTCCCATCAAGAAGAACACGAGGTGATCATAAGTGATTGCATTCACTTGCATGCTAATAACAGCCTCAAGGAAAGTCCACAACAAGTGATGTACAAATTGGATTGGAAACATCCCAGTAGAACCAAATTTCACTGCAAGACCAGCTAAAATTAATTAAAAATTGGCACATGTAGTACCTTTGGTGCAATGTAACATTATTGTCTGCAAGATAGCTTGTAGTTTTGGATACCCTTTCGCTGGATTTTTATAAATCTTTTATTACAGCCTGACAGGAGCATATCAAACCCAGCAAGTTCTAGGAGCTTTTACCTTTCGATTCTGCACTTTTTCTTTGATTACCTTCTCCTTTTCCCTTTCTCTGTTTCCGGCTAACCCAACAATCCCAACAGTCAAAGAAAGAAAGAAATAACTTACTTAACTGTTGGGTTTCATTTTTTAAGTCATATTATGACAATAAAATCTTCTTAGTTGACTCTTAATTTGCCAAGTTTAAGTAATTAAACAGAAATTGAATCACTTGTCAGTTGTCATCCTTTTCTTCTCTTGTTTTTTTTTTTCCAAATGGGGTTTATGTTGGAAACTGCCTTCCCTAAGAAACAGAACCAATTTTAACTGTATGATTAATTTGGACCACTAGCAGATACCTAATATTCTAATTAGCACCACCTCCTCTTTAACTACAAGGTTTAGATATCCTTGCTTGGGCATACCTCAATCAACAAAGTAAGCCAATCAAATGCAGTTATGGCTAAGCTTAGGATCTGTATTTAATTCTCTCTCATTACTATATAAAGAAAAAGATCACATATCCGTAAATCAATCTTGTTGAATAAAACCTTAAAGCGGAAATAATTTTAAGGTTTTTTTTGGTAAATTGAGAAAAAAGGAATTTGAACTTTACTCTTTAAGTAGAAAATTATCTGACAACTAATAAATCAAATACTCATGTGCAGAAAATAATTTTAAGATTGACTAAGGTTGGTTGCATCATGTTAATACAATCAAATTTCCAATTCCAATATCGATAAGGTTGAAGCAATGAAATAAAGCCCCCAATAAATGACAACACACCCTAGTATACAGTCTTTTGGTCTACAAACATTAATTCATTAGGTAAGGACGATGCATTGCATCCAGTCTCATATAAAAAATTCATGTACACAAGTAATAGCAAATTCAATTTGCTGCTAGCAGCAGGTCTGAGAAGGAAGAAAACTTGTTACAAGGTTATAACATTTGCACATGTTTGCTGGGCATTAAGAAAGCTTAGTTACAGTATGTATGAAATGGTAATAACTTGTTTCTACCAATTAGATTATACTTGGCGTATTACTACTTCTTCAGAGAGAAAGCAGAGTGAAGGAAACGAGGACAACTGACCAAAACTCCAAGTGAACATGGCCAACGAGCAGAGGCTTGAAAACTCAACAGAATCACAAGCCCGAGTCTCCTAGCCCAACTGAGCCACCACAGCCCAATATTTTAACAGGCCACCTTCACCTAATCCTAAAACCAGAAACCCTTGAAAACAAACCAAATAC